TGTTGCCTCATTTTAAACACCTGAGTTGGAATTAAAACTTTGCACTCAATTTTAAGTGTAGCATTGTTTTAGATTGCTTTTAGCTTGTGACATTCACAAATTGAAGCTTAAGTGAAAAAACAAAAAAGTAGAAACAATGTACCAACAACATTGTACAAATGGACACAAGTTCATTAGTTCTCAATTTAGTGCCTTGATTCAAAACCTGGCTTGAACTCTATCAAGTCATTTCAAACTCTTCACTCATGTTAAAGTGGGTGATGAGAGAATGTCTCTGTATAAAAGCCTAAGATAGGCACCTGGATATAATTATTAGTATTACTGAAGCAGCTGCAGCAAATGAAGATTTCAATTAAAGAATAACTCACGTCTGAGTTGATGATGTGAAAGCATAGTCATTGAGCATTCTTTATAAAGTTGTAGGGTTTCTGCTGAGGGGAACATAATTTGAACCTTAAAATGAAACACCTTGATGTGCAAGTGATGTCTCATAGTTAATTCACCTTGTGAGCCCAAGAAGGAAAAAAAAGGAAGCTTTGTGACATTCTGTCAACCTGTCCCTAAAATACATAGAGGATATACCTTCAGAACTAAACAAAAATACTACAATAATCTGTCAAAAGTTTCAATACTACGTGAAAAAAAGCCTTTACCTGTACTCACACACACACAGTAAAATTATTCCAATTAGATGTCTATTAGATTGAAGTTTTATTTCAAAATTGGGTAAACAGCTAAATAGCTTAAAAGATATCCTGAAAAAGTCAGTCCCATAAGAACAAATACTGTATCAAACCATGACTGCAGAATGAGTATGAGGATACCAGGGTAGTGAGGGTGGACGCAGAAGGGTGAAGATGGGCAGGGGATGGGGTGGGTAATCATAGGGTAACACAATTTGAAGGGGGGATGTGAAAGAAATGGGAAAGATGGGGTGAAAAACAATGTGTTCGAACTCTGAAAATGTATCAGTAGGAAATAAAATTTAGAAAAAAGATATCCTGAAAAAAGTTATGAAAGCTCTGCTGGGACCAGAGACAAAGCAACAACAACACAGGCATTGTCCCGGCTGACATAACGGCAGGGCTTCTCCAATGTAACCAGAAACAGCTTTGGAACTAGTTTCAAATGTCCAGTTATGCCACCCCAACTGCCCTGTGACTATGTGGAGACTGGATTTGCCTTACTCATCTGGGGGCTTTGAGTGGCTCGTGTACCTGGATGTGAGCTCTGAGCAGTCCTTGTACCTGGATGTGAGCTCTGAGCGGCTCGTGTACCTGGATGTGACTGTGTGTCTACCGAGAGAGGAACCCTGGGTTTCTCATCTTCCTCAGCTCTTCAGAAGCACTCAGAGAGCATGCAGTGCCCTTGACTCCGTGCCCCTCTGCAGTGGAATCTGATCTCTGTCCTGGTATGACCATGATAAATTTAATCAGCTGTACTATCTATACACACAAACTTGTGTAACAGAAATGAAAATTTAGCCACTTCAAGTAAAATTGCCTAGGATGATGATAAAGGTTACTTAAATTTTCAAAAGTGAATGAGCATGACTGGAATTAAAAAAAAAAAAAAACCAAACAGTAAACATATTTCTTGGAGAGGGGATGAACAGATTATTTGAAGAGGGGATGGCAGGGGTAGTGATGAAAGAATTCAATAGGCAGTAAGACTATTCCTTTTGACTATGTGGAAAAGTTATTTTTTTTAAATACTTGGAATTAAGTGAAAAAGCATTCTGTAGGTTTTCCTCACATTGACTATCTAAATATTAGCTGGCTAGAAAGACACTGAAGAAAATTGTAACTTGTCATTGTTATTTAAAAATCACTTTCTTAAAAATAGTATCTTTTTAATGACAGCTTAGAATGATGACTTCTTCCACCCTCTTTTTTCTTTCTTTGCCCCCATTTCTATGCCCTTTAAAAGCCATAAGGGAGAGAATTCTCTTCAGCGTAAACTAATGCACCTTTTCCAGATGTTTCTAAAGTAGCTTACACATCAAAATGTATTCATTTGAAAAGAATTAGCAGACTGAACACACTATAATCACTCAATCAAAAATTAAGACACAAGTGTAAGGGAAAAACCAAATGAGAGATATTTAGGATACTGTATAAATGGCAAAGATTACTATAGCCTTTGCTCTTATTAGCATTCAAACTGTGTATTTAATATATTCATCTCACCCTCCTTATCATGTATTCATGTATTCCCATTTTACCTAGCAACATACTTACTGTCATACAAGACTATGTGTGTAATGAATTTAATTATTTAAGCTTTAAACTCACCAACATGAAAAATAATATTAGTTAATTTTCCTCCTACTGGCTTGAGTAACATGACAAGTGCTTTCTTTTACATAAATAAAAACTTTCTTGAGCTGACTGACTGTTGTTTTTAATGTAATGAATCTCCTCTTCAAACTAGAAGTCTTCAAACTATAAACCATAGTCACCTGGGAGCCTGGCCAAAGTCTGAAAGAGCACAGCTGAAGGGTACAGCCATTTCACAGGGTCCTCTCAGAGAGTATTTGGTTTGCTTTCTTAACTTTCTAAAAATAGTCGATTACACAGGCTCCCTCCATCTCATGGTTCAAGAACTCAGAAAAGGCTGAGCACTAGATTTAAGCAACACATAGAAAACATTTTACTAAACAAGGAGGATATTACGAGAGAGTTTTCTAAATTCCTTCCATTTACTGAGACAATATAAATGAACTAGCGGTTACTGGCAGGAAAACTTCAAAAGGCTCCCAAATTTCAAAACTTCAAGCATGAGTCACTAAGTTATTTTAACTGCCTTAAAATATGGTTTTTTTAAATCTATTTTAGCCACAAAATTGACACAGGAAGACTGCTATCTAAAAAAGAGAATTCTGAACACCGTATTAAGAAGCATATCGTGTGCTGGTTATAATTACGCAAATATTCTTCTTGAAAACTTGACTGCATATTCAAAATTGGTTTTAATTAATTATTGATACACTTCTGTCACTAATAATTAAGGAGCTATTGTCCTGGTAAGATGTCCCACAACCTCTCCCCCCCCCCAAAGAAAAATTCTCCTTACCCCCAAAACATTTACTAACATTTAGACACTACAAATTAAATTGTAGCTGCTCTTAGAAAAGCAAAGAATCAGGACAAAGTTTGCATTGATTAACTGGTATAATGATTTCAGCTTATGAACGGATTTAAAATGTTAAAAATTAAAGGTGGGTTTTTTAAAAACAGCCTTTGGTGTGGCGGTTGCATCGTTAGCCACACAGCATGCCATTAAGCAATGCTGCTGTTACACTCAAAGAGGAACTGTTCTGGACCTCAAATGAGCACCAACGAAAGAAATATTTGGAGATGGAAAAGTAACTACTGAATATTAATGTTTCACAATGTTTCAAAATGCTAAAGGGGTAGGTTTTCTGTGAAACAACTCAACTTCACAGCCAAATTTAACATCCTCCATTCTGCAACCAGGAGTGAACCATCAACCGTCTACAGGATTAAAAACTGGATTTACTAGTAATTGGGTCAAAAGAGAGTTACTTATGGACACAGCTGGTTACTGACCAGTGTAATTAGCCCTCTGCCTCTCATTTCATGGGTTACCATCTCTAATTACACGTCAACACAGTCAGCTTGAAGGGACACACACTGTCAAAGGCACAGCCACTGGTACCCTTCATCAGGGCCTCTTTGAAAGATTAAGAAAAAGGCCCTTTGGTCATTTTTTACTTCTGCCTCTTGATCTTTAAGACTTTGACATTAAAAACAACATAGTAGCTGAACAGTTTTTGTTGTTGTCAGTGCCTCTCTTCTATTCTACTTTGCAGATGATGTCACTGGAGTCTCTGGCACCTGATCAGAGGGTCCAACTCACACTGGATTACTGAAACAGTTAACTCACAAGTAATCCCCCCTAAGGATACATTAAGATGCTGTTGTTATTATAGTATTTTCTTTTTATCTTTTTCTTTCAGAAGACAAACTGGTAAATGAGCCTTTTATGTTTTTAATACATGTAGAAGTGATCCCTCCTTAAATGTGCAATGAGTTAAACAAGGCGATTCGTATTCAAAAACAACTAAAGGATGTAGTAGCAGCACTCAACTCGGGTCTTGATCTCTCCTGTCAAAGTAAAGAGAGGCAGACTGTTTGTAAAGACCAACTTTCAAATTCCATACTGGAATAAGGAAGTCAATTACACAGAGTATCAAGAATGCTAAAGTCCTATCTTTCGAGTCCATCTTTCAAAATTACGGTGGCGCAAAAGTAAACCTTTAACACGGAACTGAGACTGCTACCAAAAAAACTAAAGCAAAATAAACTTAGTTCCTTCACATGAGAAAGTTGGAAGCTCCATTCTACGGCTACACAGTACCTAGGAATTTTCACTTATTTATAAAAATCACATTCAACAAAGTTTGTACCTCACACAAGGTACCGCAAAAGCAGCTATCTCTACTTAGTTACTCTCCCACAAAATGCAGTTTTCTGACTTTAAAATAATATGCTCATAAAACAAAAATATAAAATGTCAAAATATTAAAAGAAAAAAAAAGTCTATCCAATCTTAGCTGAATTCTTTTTAAAGACCACATATCTCGATTTACAAACAAAACATACATACAAAAACACAAGCTATAACATCTTCTCTCAGCTATTCCTGTGGCCTTGTGTGTAATACATCTAACTACTCAACACACACATCTTCATCTTCTCATCTCAGAGACAAGCTTTGCTATTGCTAAAGAAAAGTACATCAACACTTTCTGCTCTGGAAAAACCATTTAAAGGCTGACAGTTATTCATAACAAAGTTTGATCAGACTTGATTCTGCTTATCAAATAGCTCTCCCATCCCAACATCATCTAAGAACACACCAAGTAACTAAACTGTATACAAAACAAGGTATCATTCCAATCTAAGTGAATTGTCGGTCCATATTATCTTTATCCAATCATTGCATATCCTTAAAAGAAGATAATATTTACTCACTTTCAATGAATCAAAGCAGGCGATTACGCGTCCGTTTTCAACTTGGCAGCTTTTCGATGGATGTGCAAATTTACATTCCGTGTCTGGCCTGGAGCAAGTACCCCTTTGGAACTCTCTACATACTTCCAGTGTCAGCCATTTAGTGTCCCGAATAGGTGTGACACTAACAGCCATGTTTAGATTTTACAGGTAGATAATTTTTTCAGTAAAACCAACAAACCCAATCCAATCCCCTCCCCCCCAAAAAAGGAGAGGAAAAAAAATTTAAAAATAAAACCAACCCACAAAAAAACAACAGCAACAACTAAAAAAAAAAAAAACCACTAAAAAACCTCAACTGGTGAAACTGGAAAATGGCAATGAAAAGTTCCCCTCCAAAATACTTTCCCCCACTCCCTGCTTTAAAAGTACACCAAAAATTGTGTTGTCAATATCAAGGGAAAATCTCCCACTACAAATTCACAGCATCAAACTGTAATTTGAAAGAGGTCTGGTTTTCAGAGGAATATTACGATTGTGAACAGATGAACGTTTAAAAGGAGGGCATCGAATCGGCCTTGTGCTCTCAGTAACCCCTGCCCAGTGCCAATTTGGAGCCCAAAATGCAAGCATGAAAACGTGGCAGACCCTCTGACACCGAATTTCCAAGCTGCGTTCAGCAAAGTTGTCTGAAAGGGAATCTCCTCCCAGCTGAATTTGCAATGGAGTTTGGTGGTGCAATCGGTATTGATTAGTTTGGCATAGATAGATGCAGCCGTTTAGAGCAAAATCAAGAAAATGATTTTTTTTTTTTCCTCCTTGATTTCCTAGCAGAAGATATCTTACTTTTTTGTTTGTTTGTTTTTCAGCAAACTTTTCTTTTAAAACTAAAGCAGCCTAGGGCAATGCCAGAGACTTAGAGCTTTTTCTCTTGATTCTAAGTAGAAATGGGGTGCCTGGGCTAGAGGTGGGAGCTGGAGGTGCTGTCGTCACAGTCTAGCTGGCAGCAAGCAAGGCAAAAGCAGAGACTGCTCTAGAAGCGGTTCCAAGCAGCAGAGACGTCAGGAAAGGCACTTCTTAGTACCAACCTGTAGAAAAAAGAGATAGGTTAAGATTTACTAAGTAACACTTCACTGATGGTTCACAGCCTTACCTGTGAGATCAGACTAAGTCATATTCCGGTCGGCCTCGCTCCCTCCTCCTCTCTGCCCGCCACTCACAGGCAAGCACATACACAAAATACTTACAGTGAGGCATATTGCAGCCAGCCATCGTAGATTTATTAAAAAAAGGGGCCGTTTCCCCTTGTGAAGCAATGCATGATAGAGAGATAACCAATCACAGATAGTGTTGCAGCAATATTCTGGGCAGAAAGCCAATAGTGTGGGTTGTCTTATGAAAGGTCGCGCCTGTCAGACGTTCATTACTATGCTATAAGCACAGAAAATGTCCATCAGATGTGACTTATTCCACTGCAAGAGGTCGAGCATGTGGGTTTTGAATTTACCCAACATGCAGTTAGTGGACTAAACCATGTTACTTTCCAAACAGCTTCCTAGGCAAGTCCAAGTCACTTGAAGATCATGACCAGGGGAATAAAAGAGCCAGGTTTAAAAATTGCAGCCGACTTCCAAAGCTGCTTTCCCTCCGGCTCTGCCCAGGGACAGGCGCTGAACACTCTGCTTCTGCTGTCCGGACACGTGAATAAAAAAGGAAAGGGGTGTTTACAAATGGTACATTCTCCTGACCTATCCAATTCACTTCCTTCTACAGCCCAAGTCCTGCCCCTCCGCTGAAAGCAGCACTCATACTGTAAAACTATTCCATTCAGCGGGCAGACACTTTGTCAATATATCACACAGGCAGCGAGATGGGAACAAAAGCATCCTTTATGACCCCATTTTTAAAGCAGAAGCTGAGGTCATTGGGGGGGGTGGGGAGTGCAGTGTTTTCAGAGTGTCTTGCAAAATCCAAAGTCAACCTCAGGGGAGAAAGTGATTCCGTCGCAGAAACATTAAATATTAAGGGGGTGATTTGATTTGGGCAGCGTGATACACCTCAGAGACTCCAGTCTTTAGGAAGCCGGGGGCCCTACTGCGTAATGATCTTTTAAGCAGGCACCACCTGACTGCTCCTGACAAAGCCTGGCAGCTCTGCTTTTAACAATTTACTTTTTTTTTAAAGAGGATGAAGGAAATTTGTCTTAGTTACAGAAATAAAAATACAGTTTCCCCCTCATTTGAATATTGCCAAAAAAAGAAACATGAATTAAAAAAAAAAAATCTAAATATATCTTACTCCAAGGAGACAATGGTGTGTTTCATGAACAGTGTTTGCATATATTTATTTCTTCTAGAACCAAAAGTGATCTCTCGTATGGCAAATTCATAACATAGAAATTTAAAATACCTTTAGATAAACACTATCTAGTAGATTATAAAACTTTTTAAGATTAATACAGTCATTTTTAACTACTTTTAAAAGGTTGTATCTTAAAAAAAAACTACGAGATATGTGAAATACTGTGGTCTGCAACTTTTGAGAGTCATTCAGAGGACAAACCCATCCCAATATAAAGGAATATTTTTATTTTAAAAAAGTTTTCAGGTCCTAAGTCCTGACTTTGAAAAGATAGTCAATACTAAAATTATAAGCTTTGTTTATGTTCTTGAACTTTTTCCCTGCCCTAACAATTTGATAATAATCTACTTCCTAAACAACATGCCACTGGAAACTCTATGAACTTTGATAAATGTTGATGGTTGTGGAGGGAATTCAGGCCTTTTGTTCATCAGGTCGCTATGAGTTGTGTTAACTCGAAGGCAATCAACAACACAACACAGAAACCATAAACAAAGTCCAACAATCTTTTCAGTCCCTCTCTCCTGAATCTTCAAATACCTTAACCTGCACCATTCACTATGAAATCACTTCCTCGAAGAAGCCCGCTCCAGCTCTGTCATTCTGGTAACAAACACTGTCTCCTCTGAATTACCTCTCTGCACTCCAGTTCCTATAAACTTAAAATTTAAACTCATGCCTTCAATTCTGAACGGGCCTGTAGCTCACCCTTCCCATGTTTGTGGAGTCGGCCAGAGAAGCAGCAGGTGGCCAGCTGTGGGTCTGCAGCACGACTCGCTGTGGACACCACCACCAGAGCTGACCCACGTCCAGCACGCCGACAGCCTTATACATCTGAACCACTAGACTCCATGTTCCCAAGGACATCACAGTCTTACTCGTCTCAGGACCCTTGTGCCTAGCACAGAGCTAGAAAACAGATGAAGCACCATAAAAGTTGTCAAATTATCAATGGCTGCATCTAGGCTGGGATTACTTCTAAGCCTCTGTCCCACAGATAAAACAAAAATCTACTGCCATCAAGTCAATTCCAACTCACACTTGAAAATGAATGCGTGAACACACATTACTGTAATTATAACCTTAAAATACAATTATAGACAGACTGCTGGACTTCTGTCACTCTGTCCCTCCCACTCTCTGGAAATCCTCCATGTTGATCTTGGATTCCTTCTTTCACTCCACACGGAGACTTTTCTAAAATTTCACCACTCCATCATCATGCTCTGCCCATTATCTGCACCCATCATGATATCTACTGAAAATACATCACAATCAAAACAGGCAGGGACTCTCTGGCCTTGGTACAGTTGCTACTGTGTCCCACAGAGTCGGAAGTGGCCCACAGCTGACGCTCCCGCAGGTTTCCAGAGGCAGTTAATCACACAGAAGGAGACTGCCCATCCTTCTCCCACAGAGCAGCTGGTTAATTCAAACCATAAGTCTTCAGGATTGCAATGCAGCTTCTTGCCACTAGGCCACCATGGCTCCCAGGCTGTCTTGTCCCTTTCTCGTCAGTCACCAAGCAGTTCTTCCTCTGACCATGGATCAGCCCCACCTCAACTCTTCTGAGGCTATTCAAGATCTTTGTCCTGGCATTTATACCCTTCTTCTCTCTCTCCGAGTCTGGTCTTTCCCCTGATGTTTGTGCGCATTCTCGTAGCCATCACACATGATGAAATATCACTCCCACACGTACAGGTGGCCTGGGAGGATTGAGACCCTCTCCAGCCTCTTCTCCCAACTTCTCACAATTCACCACTCTCAGTGAAACACCCAGAGGGCCTTCTACATTTCATTCATTCCTGTTTCTTCCTCCCTCAGCCACCTCTGAATTGTAATCCACGTGACTTCCACATCTCCTTTCTTCACTGCTCTGTAAAGACTGACCGTACACTCATCAAAATCAAATTTAAAGAGTATTTTTAGTTCTGGCCTCTACTTAACCTCTAATAGCACATCTAACTTGCTCTCCTAAACCCTTTTCCCTTGTTATGAACGAATACTTTCTGTCTTTTTGGCCTTCTTCCTACTTTCCATCTCAACTAACCTGTTTCGCATTCTTGGCCTCTGTCATCGGTTGTGTGCTCCTGGCTGTTGTTCCAGGCCGACTCACTCCTGGTTTGATTTGAAACATACTTTAGTCTCTCAAGCTGGGACATTCCTTCTCCCTCTAAATTGTTGAACCAATTCTGCTAAACATTACTGCATCCTCAAAATGTCCTCAATACCTTATATCTCTCTCTACTCTCCAACAGGCCTTACGAACTTGCAGAAAACAAGAAATATTACCCATCTTCTCTTATTTCCAAGATTCTGGAACATAACAGATGTTCTTATAATGTTTGTTAAATTAATCCATTTAATTCATACGAATAAAAACAAAGAGGCATATCATGACATGGTCTCCCACCTGACGAAATATCTCATCACAATCTCTGAAGTCTAAACAATACATGGACCAAGGAGAATGGTAGGACTGGAAGTATCAACACTGCATGGTGGTTACATCTAAATCAATGAAACAAAATTAACTTCCAGAGTTTACTCTTTATTTTGCCTTTCTCCTGTGCCGTAAGATTAGTTATGCTCAAGTGCAAAAAATCCTTTTGACTTCAGGAATTGCTACTAAAATTATAGGAATATATTTTAAGTAGAGCACACTATTTAATTCTAAAAACACAAGGAAGGATCAAAATAAAAACACTTCCAATAAACTAGGCATGGGCCTGAGGAATCAGAACAGACATCAACCATGACTCTTCATTAGTCTACAACACCTGCAGGGACACATGACAGTGTCTGCGTCAGTCTCGTGTCATACCCTGATAAAC